TTGAGGGTATGGGTCAAGAGTTCTTTGAAGAGTTGAGGGCTTGGTTTTTGCTGCAGGCATGCTTTTGCGAAAGCTCGCGATGGTGTGCGCGAAAGGAATTTTGGATTTCCGCGAATAGGTCTTTTGTTATGAAGGTAATATTGGGCAACGCCCATATATATATATATGTATATATATATATCTATACATATATATATATACATATTGCCCTCAAGCCCTAAACCGTACACTGTTCTGAAGCCGAGGATTACTACCGCATTCGCACGACTGATGCCCTGCCGCCCTCAGATGGCCTCTCGGTAGCAAAGTTGTTAGTTGAAGTTGGAAAGGATAGGAGCCTACAAAGGGTAGCCATGGGCAACCGGTTATAGGCATAATCTAGGGATATAATTTTTTGGGGGATGTAGGGTATGTGGGGAAACAGGCTTCAAATTTTGGTCATAGCAATGTCTTAAACTGGTGGCCCCTCACCGTATGTCTAGGCTCAAGATAAACATACTTTAACTACAACTCGATCAATATTGACTATAATTGGGTTGAGGTGGTAGTCGTTGACATAGGGGCCCGCTGTGGCGAAACCTCTAGGTTAGGAGGACCCCACCTTGCAAAATTAGTAGAATAGGAATATAAGAGGACCTTGATGTAATCCCTGTTCTCCCTTATAGTTACTATTACTGGTCCGCCCTACCTCTAGGAAATGACCACAAATTGCCTCATCCTCCCATCAGAGCACACTAAACCATCCTCACGTCAGAACGCGAAGATGGGATCTGAAGCGGGAACCGCACATGTTCGTGATTAAGGTATAGGGTTTAGGGTTAGGGTTTAGTTCCACACTCCAAGCGTAAAAAAGGGATTTACAGCGGATCCCACACGAAGCGAAGCGTCTAGATAAGACGAGCTATTCAATACTAGGCTTACTACAGGACCCTTAACATTGGACATAGGGTTCTCTTGTAGTCCAGTGTAATCCCTAATGTAGTTGCTAATATAAGGCCCTTGTCAATTAAATGGGGTAGGAAATGCTGACTGTAGCTCCTGTCAAGTTCAAGTGATTCTCTCGAGAGGTTAGCCGTTGCAGCCTCTTTAACAAAGGACCTAAGCTCATCCCTTTGGGCTCATCTTATGTGTGGCCAAAATTGGGTTGGAAACACAAGGTTATAATGACCTCCAAGTATGCTTCCGCGGGAAACAAACCTTCTCAAACGGGCCCCCCAGAATCGGACCCTTCATTGTTTGACACCCCCAAGTTTCTTTGAAATAGCAAGGGCTTCTCATTCGCAGTCTTGGCGGTTCGAATAGCTTGCAGGGTGCACGCAGGCACGGAACATGGGTTGAATTTGAGAGTTTTGGTGCTTCGACTCTAATCCTGAAATTACCCCTCCCAAGTGCTCGCAGAGCTGCGCGGGGCCATTTTTCTCTCAAATCAGCCAACAAAAGGGATGTACAATCTTGCGGGAAGACATGGATTCCTTCATGCCACCACCCAAAGGTTCCCCAAAGATGATCCCCGTAAAGCCTGACCTACGATTTAAAAATTAGCGGCTGAGTTTTTGCTCCCGGCTCTCTCGTGACGGAGGCTGGACGACTGACGACTGTCCTCGAGGGGACGCGACGTCCCGCGGCACCAATCAACATGAACCTTAGTGCAAGTTTTGCTTAGCCCCTCTACAATGCAGAATCGGGACCCCTCCTACATAATACGGCTATCTGACTACCCATGCGACTGGTGGTTGTTGTCCGTGACCTTTGAAGACCCTCCCACTCGCCTTGCGTCACTGTTAGTGAGAGGGTTGTGGTCATCCCAACCACAAACTTAGAATCCTATAGCTATCGCAGGATTATAATGTAGGGGGGTTGCGGTTACCAAAATGCTGGTATAAACACCTGTCCAGGTTCCATTTTGTTTCTAACGGTTCCATTCAATTCTCCATCATTAGGCCCTAGCATTATAATGTCCTGGCATTCTTCTCTTATGTACCCCATATGAACCCGATACCAAACCCTGAATTCCGCGATCGGCCTTAAGCCCCCTCATGAAGCTGTAGCATGCTTATGCAGTGATTGCTGACTTTTACAGGGAAATGTTGCATCTACTGCTTGGAACTGGGAAGCTTGGGGTCTTGGGAGGATCTGGGCTTTGGTGTAATCTACTTGATCGTTTTGAGGTCGGACTTGAGGGTGCCAGCCTTAAACCCTAAAAGGACATGCTTTGGGTGGTATAGGGTTTAGGGTTTAGGGTAGCCTGTGGTCTCTGACATTGGGTGGGAGTGTTGAGAATTCCGAGTGGCGATGGATTCTTTAACGCCATCGTGCCAGGGTCGCTGGGCGCAGGATTTGCCGCCACCAACAGACCCCCTGGGAGTGGGGTTTCGCCATCTGTGCACGGAAGCCAGCCGTTCGCGATGGGACGTCCTAAACCCTAAACCCTAAGCCCTGAACCCTAAACCCTGAACCCTAAACCCTAAACCCTGAGCCCTAGACCCTAAACCCAAAGCCCCCAGCCTTAGGTCCCAAACCCCAAACAAGTCCATGGGTCTTCCTTGAGCTGAGGGTGTGCCCGACGATCCGGCCACTTCTGGATTCAGAGGTTCTCTTGGAGGACTCTGGGTTCATGGCTGACATGTGGGCTTGCTAAAGAATTAGAGGGATCTCGGGGTCCCCTTTCAGTGCAAAACGAACAGGACAAGAAATGGAAATAACATGGAAACTGGGAGTATGTAAGGGTTGATAGGGACCAGGGTTTCCCAAAACTATGTACCTTTTTGCGGTCCCGACAATAGGTGTTGTTGTAGTTTGGGGTCTATGTTGGTGTGCCACGCTGTTTACGGAAACTATGCAATCTGTCAGAGCGAAAGAAAGCCGACACTCTACACCCTAAAGCCAAAACGCCACACCCAAGCCTTACACCTTACACCTTACACCTTACACCTTACGCCCTACGCCCTAAACCCTAAACCCTAAACCCTAAGCCCTAAACCTTTCACCCGAAACCCTAAACCCCTAAACCCCTGAAAACCTTAAACCCTAAACCTTAACTGTTTTAGATCCGGACCTATTAGCATCCAGTGCAGGACACCTGTCCATCGGGTTCCGAAGATGCCTCCAGCTCCAGTGCGTAGTTCCGAGTTGCCGACCGTCCCTGGTACAAAATGAGTTTGTTCCGAAGTCTAGGGTGTAGAGTTTAGGTTGTAGGGTGTAGGGCTCAGGATTTAGGGATGTGAGTTAGGGTTTACTATGGGTTATTGGTGGGCCTCTCTGGGTTTCCTTATGAAATTGGGTGTCCAATTTGGCAGATAATAAACGACAGCCATGGGTCATGTACGGGGTACATGGGGACATATATATATATATGTGTATATAACTATATATATATATCTATTTTTGGCACATATTCATGCAGAAACATTTTAAAGGCTTCAGGCTTCAAGGTTTGATAGATATGTATGGGTTCGGGCTAAAGGTCGTTTCCAAGGTCCCTGTTTGTCGAGTCCCCATAAGCAGTGCTAAGCCCTAAACCTCCCCCATTTTTATATTACCTAAAACAGTAAAGTCCTGCCTGAGGGGTCCGCATAAGGGCAAGAAGTGGGGCTTAAACGTTGGAGAAGCAGTTGCAGACGGCAGAAAGGATAACCTGTGGGCCAACCCTAACCCCAAAAAGCCTTAAGTTCCTAATGTAGTTGATTGATAAACCCCCTCCC